GGGAGGGCAGGGGGGAGGAGGGCGGCATGCAGGAGGAGCCCACTGCAGACTCTGTGAGTAAAAGGATCAGCTCACTGACCCCATGCTTAGTCTTTGTCAGTGATATTATTCGAATATTAAGGACTAGATGTATGCAAAGCACTCCTATGTTGATTTTTGTAATATCACATTGCTTTTAAGCTTTTTCACATTTTGCTTAATTGTATCTTTTAACATCTGGTGCATTAACTTTTTTCCCAGAAACGCGCTGTGGCTGTTGTGGACGGCGTGACGCTCGTCTCTACAGTGTCTCTGCAGGTTTTACAAGACGATGACCACTATAGCCCCCTTCTGGAAGTTACCCGACGTCTTCACGGTGATTGTTTGTGTTTTTTGCACATTTTTACAGCAAATGAGTTGCATATGTTGCTCTTCCCATTCAGATAGATAGATGGATAGATATTTATACCTAACTTATAAATATATACATTATAGAGCTTTGATTATCCTGTAAGAGTAGAAAACAGCTGTTATAAGCACCAATTCTTTTACCAGTTATGAAAAAACAACCTGAAAAACCATCATAATTGCTCAGTTTATGAGATGAATCGTGGACGTTTCAGTGAAAATGCTTTTATTCTGCAATGAGGCCAGAAAGTCACATGTGTTACCTTTGCAATCCAAAGGTAACACATAATTGCCATCTGATCTTTGCCTTTTCAGAAAAGCTTAAATAATAATGAGCATCTGTGTGTGTCTGTGTCCTTCAGATGTACTGGTGTCGCTTCCTGTCTCAGAAGCACCTCTGCAGAACCACATCCACGCACTGTGTGAAGCCTGGTGGAAGAAAGGGCTGCAGGAGAAAGAACGGTTTGGGCGCACTGCTTTCTTTGTGTCTCTTCAGAAGAGCTTCATTCTCAAGAAACCAGTGAGTGTAACCCCTCAGTCACATGTCAGCTCCTCAGCTCTTTCAGCAGGTTTTCACTCTGAAAGAAATGTTTTCCATCAGTAGCCAGTGCATCTCACAGCAGTCTGCTGATAACTGGTAACCTTTGTGATCTCTTGTCTCTTGTCAGGGAGCTGAGATCCAGAGAGTGTGGAGGCTCCATGACGTGCTTTTGAGTCTTGACTACACATCAGAAGAAAACAAGCAGATAATCGACTTGTTGCTTCAGTGCTTTCACCGCCCTGCTCACATTCGAAACGATGATGTGAGTTATGCTCAGCCGCCGCGTGCTTGTTTTCACGATTCACTCCCTGCTTTATTTATTTTTATCGTCGTGGCTTCCCTCTCGAGCTGTCAGTCTGATGATGTGTATATTGTCACAGGGAAAGCGATTCCTGGTGTTTCTTTTCAGCTGGAACGTCAACTTCATCTGGGTTATTCACGGCACAATCAAAAACCAGCTGGAGTTTTACAGCAAGTAAGAACCCCAGTCTTTTCTCGCCGACACGCTCACTTCTCTTTTCATGTTAATAACAACTAAACTCTTCCATTCAGGCCCATCACTGCTCATATTGCAGAGATCTACTTCAGAGCATGGAAGAAGGCTAGTGGGGAGTTCTTGGAGAAGATCGAGAGCTTATGCATTCAGGATTTCATGCAGAACGCGATCTTCCTTCATAGAGCTTCTCCTGTGCATTCCAAAGTCCGACAGGTAGACTGTAAAATAAAAAATGTGCCTGTTTTAAAGATGTTTTTAGTCCTCATATTCATCGTATGGAGTGTCATTCTCTGCTCTCTTTGTCTCATATTCAGATTGTGAGCTATTTCCACATGAGGAAGGACTGCCGCAACGTGGACAAGATGCTCTATAATCTCTACAAGCCCATACTTTGGAAAGCTCTCAGTGTACGCGTACTTCATACAGGTTTTAGCCTCGCTTTCAAGCAAAAAAACCCAAGTAGAATATTATTAATTAATGAGAGGACGATCCACACATTTAAGTATATACAGACCAGTTGAGATTACGTGCACAGTCAACCCTCAAAAGGCCCATCGTGAGCCAGCTGAACCCTCAATTTTTGACATTTAATTCTAATCAAATGTGTTTCTGTTTGATTTATTCAGGCTCCTAACTTTGAGGTGCGTGCAAATTCCACTTTGCTTTTCACTGAGGCCTTCCCATTTTACGACCCGAGTGAAAGCAACGAGAAGATAGACGAGAACATTCAAAAGCAACTGGACACAGCAATGGTGAGAACCTTTCAAACCCCCGCCAGGCATTAAGGGAATATTCGGTGTATCTCAGCACAAAGCATTTCTAAGGTAGCGTTGTCTGAGCGCAGACAGAATCGTAAATGTCACTTGTTGTCATCCCAGAACCTCCTTGATGATCCTCATCCGACAGTGCGCTCCAACGCCACACTGGGTGTCTGCAAGATCCTGGCTAAATGCTGGGAGCTCCTCCCACCTACAATCATCACAGACTTCATGAAGAAGCTGGTGGCGGAGCTGGCGGCTGACAGTAGCTCCCCTGATGTCCGCTGCTCAGTGTTCAAGGTGGAAAATGTGGCTTCTTTCCCTTCCTGAAAGAAGAGAAAGAAATCGCTGTCTTGACATTTTGCCAGTATTGAGTTAATTATGCAGAATAACTATCGTTTGATTTGCACGAGTCATGGATAATTTATTTAATGACTTGTGGTTTGTGTAATTACCCTCCTTCTCCAGTGTCTGACTATTGTCCTGGACAACGCTCTCAGCCATCCACTTCTGGAGAAACTCTTACCTACGCTCAAATACAGCCTTCATGATAACTCAGAGAAAGTCCGGATAGCTTTCCTCGACATGCTTCTGAAGGTCAAAGCAGTGCGTGCTGCTAAGGTAATGTATGTGTAGGTTTTTTTAAAAGCTTTAACAGGCTGTCGCTGTGTGACGTTGCTATGGATTTTTTATATTTTTATATATATACACACATACATACATACATACTTACAAAATTTACTTCTCATTTATCTCCTCTATCTACCAATCTCCAGTTCTGGGACGTGTGCAACATGGACCACCTGCTTGCCCGCCTTGCCATTGACTCACACTCGGTTTCCAAGCGTATCGTCGACTTGCTGTTCAAGTCGTTCTTCCCGGTCAACGAGTCGGAGAAGGAGTGGTGTAACCGCTGCATCACCCTCATCCAGATGAACCCCATGGCTGCCAGGAAATTCTACCAGTTTGCTTATAGACACACAGCACCCACTAACATCAGTAAGTGGACAGCAACAAAACCTGATTTATTTTTGCATGCTGTTTTTTGGATATTTTAAGTATGCTTGTACCGTTTTATCTTCTCCTCCAGTAAAGCTGATGTTGGCCATTCGTCGTGTCCTGAACAGCTGCATCCAGGTTGACTGTGACATGACTGACATCAATGACAGCAACAAAGAGAACAGCGCAGTAAGACGGAAACGCACAGACTGACTTAGAGCAGGGGAAGCATCTCTCAAAATTTAGCTTTTGATTCTTATTATTTAACCTCTTAAGCCCCAAGCCTAACTGATCTCCTGCCTTTTGCCCTCGTATCAGGGGGCGTTGTGCACGCATTAAGTCAAATCTGAATTTATTTAGATGACTTTTTGATCGATTGAAACAGTACACCATGGAAGTATGTATATAAAAAAATAATATCCCTACCTCGTTGCCACCCACTGTTTGTTTCCTGTTTCAGCAAATTGGCTCTTGCTGTTTTTGTTTTTCAGAGTGTAAAGTGTCCATAATTAGAATACAAAGTGTACTGCTTAAAAAAAAAAAGCTGCATCCACAAACTGAATGAGTGCCTCACACAGACACCTTCACATGAGTATTAAGATATTTTTTTAAAAAAATAGTAAAGATTTACTCAAAAACAAAACAAAAAAAACCTGAGCAGAAACTTCTTGGACCAGCTGTGCCATTAACTTCACAGGAAGCATTATTATTAGTCACATAATTACATGAAAACACTTCGAAAGCCACAAATGGCACAAACGTGTCTCTAAGTCCACATCATTGACTTAAATTAGTGGAGGAAGCCTAGCAAACAGCTAGTAGCTACAGCCGCCGGAGATGTGTAAAAATAACCACCGATTTCACAGAGGTGAAATTCTTTTGGTTCCAGGGTGTAAACATGTTTAGTTCTGCTGTAAAGGGTTAAATCCAGCCTCGTGTGGCCACTGGTGGAACTGCAGAGATAAGAAGAAAATGTGCTGAAACACGAGCTCAGGCTGTGTCCTCTGTGTGTGTCTGTTCATCTCAGCAGGCGGCACCTGCCTTGTTGGGGAAAGACATGACCATCGTGTCCAGTTTGCTGGAGGTCGTGGTCATCCTGTGGAGAAGTGTCTCGAAAGCCCTGAAACAAAATGAAGAGGCCCAGAAGTATACGTGTGCCAAGTTTGGGTCTGTCATGTCCAAGTATTTCCAGGCCTTTGAGGTACATCCACTGCAGTGTGGTGCTGTTGT